GCTAATTATTTAAACTATTGAACTTGCTCTATTAATGATGCTAGACACATTTAGCAAATTTCATAGGATTTTTTAAGACCTAAACTCTCTCAGAAGTTAAATGCATATCGCGTTTTCTACGAAACTATGCACAAAGTAAACATCTGAAAAAAGGGTATGTTTTTTACTTATAAACAATTGTAATAACTTCTACATTTTTCAAGCTACAGACTTGTACGTACAACCATTGAAAAGTTGGTAAAAAAACTCACATTTAATAAAAAAACCTTCTATGAGCAATAGGAACGAAGTTCCTATTGGTCATAGACTGAACCATTTTTAAAAACATCACATGTACATTGTTTATAAACATTAAGAAGTAAAATTTGCACAAATTTTGAATGAAAATCTATACTTTATATTGAAACTTATAGCTATAAAATTCATCAAATTTTTCGAAACTTACAGTCCTTTGAAACGAAGGTAGGTACTATCAAAAGAAAGAAAATATCTGCGAAAAATTTTTCGACCTTTTTTTTTAACCAGACTGGGCTAGTTGTATTCTACACATCTACGCTCCTATTCCAATATTTTTCGTTTTAGGCCAATTAAGTTAGATTTTTACTAGACACAACTGTGACAGTTGAAATGTATTGTATCAGGTATTACAAAAAGACTCTCATTTAGGGATTCATACATTTTTTAGTGGAACTATTATTAAATAAACAATCAAAACTTATTATTTACACGAAATGAGATATGCAAAATTAAAATCGGTTTGACTTTTTATTCTAAAAATATTTTTTAATACTAACAAACTGATTTGTTCAAATTTAATAAGAGTATGTATTGGGACAAAGTGTTTATAATTAACAATTTAATACTCTTTATAAATGATATTTATTTAATATAATTATATTTTAAATAATAAAAAAATATATTAAAAGCGACAAGAAAAGGTTTGTACATTCCGTAGTTATTCAATGCTTTGTTTTGGATAATTTTGCAAGGAAAAGAAGAAATACAACAAGAACGATCAAATTTAGCCCAGTAGATCTCGAAATATGTCATTTTTTTCTAAGTGCTGTGAAGCTGCGTTTGATTTTTTGAAGAACGCTGCTGGCACTTCATTCGGCTAGCCCCACTTCGTTTACTCTAGTCGGAACGAACAGTAATTTTTGTTTACAACACTCCTGTTTAAACAATTTTCAATAATTTTGTTTTCTATAATAATTTAGTTTTGTTAAAACTTTGAATATTGTCATAAACTATTGATTAATTTCATTCCTTAAGTAACAGGTTGGCGACCAATGATACTGTGATGATTTTGCGTTGTGATACCATATGTATCACCGGTGATCAAATTTCTTGGTTTATTTCTGGACCCGTGATACTTTGCAGAGTGCAGTTTAATGACCATTAACATTGTTGATATATAAAATCGGGCAAACAGTATGGTGATTTCCATCACCATTTTAACAGATAAAAATATTATCTTAGTGTCTTTTTTGAAAACATTCCAACATTTGGGGGTAGAAACCAGTTTAGCCTTTTTTGCTGTTACTTTAGACGTTTTGTGAATTTTACTCTTTCTGATAACAACCTACACATCGTTTTCTATTTTTTTGATTATCATTTGTTATTTCAATCTTTTATTTCAATACACTTTTGTTGATATTTTTCTTGTTGTCTGCAATAGCGCCAAGCAAGCCCATCACAAGTGCCTATCTAAAATCAGCTATTTGAATTTTGTTATTACTTGATATTTGGTGAGGTCATTGATTACTGACGTTCCAAACAGATACTCAAATGCAACCTTATGGTACCATCGCAAACATCGACGAAGGGCAGTAAAATAGGAAACAAAGCAATACTCGTTTTAAACTTGTTATAAAACACAACATTTCTAAATTTATTCTCTTTCTCGGTTTTTTTTTTGTTTGTATCTACGATATTTAGTGTATGTTTAGTACTAATAAATCTAACACATCTCTTATCTTTTTAGTTTCAAATAACCTTACCATTACTTTCTTTTTTCTTTCGTGTTTCATTTTTTATTTTTGTTTTTTCATCCAAAATTTCTCTTACTACCCCTTTCACATATTTTCGTACCAACGTTGTGAGTTTTTCTTTCTAAAAGTAAATCTACCATCTCTAAATTGTTATTATAATTATCTGCTTCTAGATTAGAGTATGACCACTATCAAGATAATCATTCATCAAATTAAAATCTACTGTATTGATTCTTTGTCCCACAGTAACCGTGTTACTCTTTCCTTTACAAATTTCGGTTTCATATGTATATCAACTTTCGTCACATAACTTAAATATTTTTCCACCACCATCATATTTTACCCCTTATATATTTTCGTCCATGAGATCTGTCCCTCCCAATGCTAAATTGTATTTACCGATAACATAATTCCGCCTAGGAATTAAAATATTGTTCTTTTATTTTTTGGAAAACGTTTTTACTTTCTGTAGCAAAATTCCGTACCTTGTTGATGCAACTGTGACTACATTATTGTCAGCCCAACGGACAACAATTATTCCATTTTCTTTGTCAAGATCAAAGTCATGTTCACCTCGATCCACTTTTCCATCTGGATTTTATTTTTTCGAACACAATTTCTGGGGATACGATTTTCCCTTATTGTTCCAGTTCCGTTGTAACCTTCATCGTTTAAAAAATTTAGTGAAATTTTTTACAAACTAGTGACTAAATTATTAAAATAAGCCGGAGATACACATGCCTGTTAACATAATGACATACCAGTATCTAGTAAACACCAGCTTCTGTCCCCAAACTGGCATGTGTGGACGTTAACTGACATGCTAGTTCCTGACATGCTAGTTCCTGGCATGCTAGCTAATCGCAAAGAATTTCATTTTTCTCGCTTGTAGCATGCTGTAAGATGCAAGGCGCATGCATGGAGAGTGGCGCTGGCAAGTGTGAACGCACGGTACCGTACAGGCAATACGGGCATACCAGTAGCTAACTAGCTAGCAGAGAATCGTCAGATTTGTTGTGTTGGTGAAAAAAATTAATCATTTTATTTTTAAACTTGTTAATTTAAAAAATTTTCGTTGGGATGATGAAAAAACCATCAAATTCTAAATCATCTCTATATAAAAATAAAATTGCCCGTGAGAATGCCTTACACAAAAATTCAAGAGGAAATGGGTGAAGGTTTTACTATAAAGGCAAAAATAAAAAATTGCTCCAAAATTTTCTCGCCTATCAATCCAATTTCTCACTCAAATTTTTCTCCTTTTTTAGTTCTGCTTCGGATTCATTAATACATTTCTAACAATATCTGTGGTCATCAGCAATATTTGCTTGTTGAATTCATCCGAATACCTTCCATGGATTCCCTTTTTTTATTGGAAATTCAAAAACTTTTAATTTTAAAACAAATACTTAGTTTCAGATGAAAACCACTCGATTGGTTACTAGCACTGGCATGTGTAAAAATCTACCCTGCTTTTTTGCCTTGCCATTATAGGTAAGCGAGCTACTGGCATGCCAATTACTAGCAAATGTGTTTTGTGCTTGCCAATTACTGGCCTATGCTAGCTACTTTCCCAATTTACTGGCATGTGTGTACCCGGCTATACACTGACTAGCGGAGGTGTTCCTTATGTGGGGGTAAGTCATTTAGCATCCATACAAGTGGTTCTGCAACTTTACCAAATACTTTTTGATATTCGTCTTTGGAATTCGGATCATTCGGTATTATATTGAAATTAACCACAGAACCAGATTTTGTATTTATAGACCAGACTTTGTATCCAAAGCGGATGGGTTTTTCCTTATAAATTGTTTACAAGGGTGTTTACCAAAATATTTTATCATCGAATTTAGCTCCCTTTCTGTAACAAAGTTTCCTAAAAATTTTTTTTTGTAGCTTTTCTATTATAGATCGCAATTTTCACATCTTATCTGTTTTCTCAAGCTCGCTATTATCAGCGCGAATTACTATTGTCAGCGCGAATTACTATTATCAGCTAACAATCAGAAAACGAAAAGTTGTTAAAAATCTGTCTCGTCGCATAATTTCTAAAATACATTTATTTATCATGTCAGATTCCTTCTCCAAATAATATTTTTTGGCAGCTAATTGGCTATATTCAGTTATGATCAAAATGATTATAAACCATTTCATTTCATTGATCGTAATTAGAGGATCTGCTACATTTTTAAATGGTGTATACCTCACCGATTCTGCAACTAGTAGTTGAATTAATTGTTCATTAAATTTTTTTTCGAAAAGTTCAATTTCAAAAATTTACCTAAAATTAATCAAAACTTTATCACCTATATTTTTCGTAAAAATAAAAAATTTAGTATGGTGGAGTCTATTTGTCCATTGCAAAATCATTCTCGTTCGAATTGCGGACATAAAGCTCGGCCTGGAGCTCGTAATTGGCTTGCTGGTTATCTACCATACCACCGTTATCCTGATCTACAGAATCTTCATCGGCCAATTCATTTGTGTCTGGTGGTTCAATGTAGATTCCCTTCACATCTAAATCATCCACGTACGCCATTTGTAACGCCTCTTCAAGAGTCAAAACTCTCAAAAACTGAGTCTTCTGTGAGACTCAGTTTTTCGCTCCCTAAAATAATTACACACTAAAAGAAAAAGACGAACTGATGCAATATTTTTAAAATCTATTCTATTTTTATAGATAAAATCTTATCAAAAATAATTTATAGGTATCAAAAAGAGTTGTTAATAGGAAGGGGATTTTAAAACATTTTAAAAAATTTCAAAATATATATCTATATAAACGTATAATTTTTTCATACGATTAAGTAAGCAGTCAATAAGACACTGCAAGATCACTCACCGCTTTACGACAACTTTACATAGAATGTGATGTGAACAGTTTTTAAAGTCAAACGGATAAAGGAAAATCAAAATTGATTACCAACAAGTAAAATAAAAAGTAGTAGTGCATATATTGCAAGGCTCTGGGGGTATACATGATAAAAAAAGGAGAAAATGAGAGAATAAATGAAAGGAATCGACGAATTTCTAGCAAATAGAAAAATAAATTACAAAAGTAAATTATTTTAAAAAAATAACACGTTACTAGGAGAAATGTGTTGCTTTCATCTTCTGTCCAATTTATATTTTCAGAAATGTAATTTCTCAGAAATCCAACTTGGCAAGCACCGAAGAAATATTCGTTTGACCAGAATTCTGACTTATTTTATTTTGCCGTTTGGGTGGACCATGTGAAATATTTATATAAGTAATTACAGAGTGCTGGCAGCCAAAACGTGTTGTTATTCCAAACAAACTCACTTTCATCGGGAAGCGTAATATTTTAGTCACCGTGCAAAACACTGTTTCAAGGACAGGTCCGTTCTTTTATTATAAAACCAGCTTGTTTACCTGGATGATAATTTGATAATTAAACTGGTTAAGTGAAGAGTGTTTGGTAATTAGTTGACCATTTACCTTTGGTTGTCAAATTAAGAGCAGAAGTTTCGCAACTATTTGGTTGTATTTTCGTTTGAATTGTCTGATGGTATTATTATTTAGGTATGCTTGCCAACAATTTATCAGGTCTATTTTAATGCGAAGTTGGAAGTAAACAAATTATATACAATGAGATTTTAAATTGTTTTCACTTAGTTCTGAATTTTTTTTTATTTTCTCAGTGATCTAGTACAGAGATGGGGAAAATTTTTCTTTCGCGTGACAATATTTACTAAAAACTAAATAAAATATATTATATTATGTCAAGTTGTTGCATTTTTGATTATGTTTGCTGAAATACAAATATTGATTTTTCGGAAACACTTTTATTGTGCAATATTACAAAATAAACGATTGAAATACAAACACAATCGTAGGTAACTAAGTTAAAATATTATATTAGCTGTGAAGTAGAAGATAGAGCAGAGGGTCTAAAGAAATGCTGCTGCATAGCACCTACACTCTTCAAAACGGAGCACACTAGTTCGCCCCCAAGGTCAAAAAACCCTCTTAATTACATACTAGGTCGTTCCGAAAACCATAATCTAGTTCGCTCCCGTGGTCAAGCGGATTAAGTATTTATCTATTAAGTTTCAGGAAAAAGGTACTGCGGATTTTGTATTTTATATTAGAAATTATATCAAATATTTGTAGTTACATATTTATATAAATACAGTGATAAGCGCGCTAATAACCGGCAAAATAACGCAAACAATGGAAAACATATGAAGTTGTAAGATACAAGAGATGAAACTAGTAGAGATGAGAAGTTTAGCGATAGAAACCTATAAATTTACATTCTATTCACTGTTTCCCACCTTTAGACGTATCAGAGGAGAATGTCAACTAAAACTGTCACTGTCACAGCGGTAGTTTCCAAATTCTTACGTCTAAAGGTGGGAAACAATAAATGAAATGTAAAATATATAGGTTCTATCGCTAAATTTCCTATCTCCACTAGTTTCATTTCTATTTATCACACAACTTAATATGCTTCCATCTTTTGCGTTATTTTGCCGGTTATTAGCGCGTAGACATATATATGTAGACAAGAAAGCAATACAAGTGTAAAAACTAACATAATATGGGATATTCTCTACCATTTCTATGCATTCATATGCGTATTTATACGCAGCCCATGCTAGTGTATATTTAGAAGAGAAATTCAATAATGATTCCTAGGAAAAGAATTGGATATACAGCAAGAACCCAGATAAGGAATTTGGAAAATTTGTTAGGACAGCTGGAAAATTCTTTAATGATGAAGAAGATAAAGGTCTTCAGATATCTGAAGATACACGTTTCTATGCTCTAAGTAGAAAATTCAAATCTTCTCTACAGAAGGTAAAGATCTAGTTATTCAATTTACTGTAAAACACGAACAAAACATTGATTGTGGTGGTGGATACGTTAAAGTATCCTTGAAACTTGAGGAATTACATGGGGAATCTCCATACAGAATTATGTTCGGTCCCGATATTTGCGGACCTGGTACCAAAAAAGTACATGTTATCCTTAACTACAAGGATAAAAATGTTCTTATTAACAAGGACATCACATCACATCAAGGATGTAAGGATGATTTCTACACTCACGCCTACACTCACGCCCAGATAACACTTATGAAGTACAAATCGATGATGAAAAAGTAGAGTCTGGAGAGCTAGAAAGTGATTGGGATCTCCTTCCACCCAAGAAAATCAAAGACCCAGAAGCCAAAAAACCAGAAGATCGGGATGACAGGGCCACTATTCCAGACCCAGATGACTCCAAACCTGAAGATTGGGACAAGCCAGAACACATCCCAGACCCAGATGCTACCAAACCTGATGACTGGGATGATGAAATCGATGACGAATCGTAACCACCCATAATTGATAACGCTGAATACAAAGGTCAATGGAAACTAAAGCAAATCGATAACCCCGCATACAAAGGGTCCTGGGTCCACTCTGAAATGGACAATCCCGAGTGCACTCTCGATAGCAACCTTTACAAACAAAATGAAATCGGTTTCGATTTATGGCAAGTCAAATCTGGTACCATCTTCGATAATGTTCTCGTCACTGATGATGTATACAATGCAAAGAAAGAATTGTCGGGTCTTAAAGATAAACAAGACGGCGAAAAGAAGGTTAAAGAAGAACAAGACAAAGTCGAAAGAGAATCTGCCAGTGAAGATGTAAAGAAAGATGATGATGATGATGAGGATGATGATAATGATGAACATGTGCCACAAGTAGAAGCAGGCAATCACGATGAGTTATAAAAAGAGTATAAAGTGAACTAAGAGAACCTTAAATAGTTTCGGAAAACAATTCAGATTTCTGCTTTAATCTGTGCTTTCTAAAAATTGCAAAGCAAAACAGACGTTAATGAAGGCGTTAAAAAAGACATGGGGAATCTAAAATTTGCATTCCACGACACATCTTTTCAACTAAGCAGGAATCCTTAGCAAATTGGTTTCTTGTACTTGTACAGAGTAGATCCGAATAAAATGAAAAAGACAGCAAATATTTGATTTCACGCAAAACATCGCCTTTGTATCTGTTTTGAAGTGTGTTTCGAAACTATTTTACGGTTTTATTATCAGATGTCTCTATTGCGTCCATATCGAAGCCATTTTAGTGTTGCTTCTTAAAAGACAGAAAATATTGATCTTTCACGTTGAGAACTCCTTTGAATAACTGTTCTGATGAGACCTATTAGGTCGAAATACGTATCAACAGATACAAAGGCGCTGTTTGCGTGAAATCAAATATTTGCTGTCTTTTTCATTTCATTGAACTAAGAGACTTTTTATATATTACAGGTGTGAAGGGTTTTGTTCGATACTGTGTACTGTTCCTTGACTGATTTCTGTTATTTTTGATCGTATTACTTCTAATAAAACACAAAATCGACAAGTTGTTTTCATAATTTCACATTTTATTTGTACAAAATTACAATAAATTATTACAAAATTAAACAAACATAAATTAAAACTGGGCATTTATTTCGCTAGAAATCTAAATGAAATACATTTGACAAAATCAAATCTACTAATTTTATTTTGCTTTAATTCCGCTATTGTGTGATCAACAAATTTTTCGGTACACTTTTTTTGGTTTCACAGAACTTCGTATTTTTTTTTATATAAGTGTCAATTTGAATATCTTTTAAAACTTCTAAAAATTGAAATATATTAGGGTGCGGATTAGGGTAAAAATAAATTTATAAAAACCTAGCAGAGCACTGTGGTATATCATAAATATTTTTTTTTGGAATTCTACTAGTTTTAACCGTAAGCCAGCAAAATCGCTCCCCTTAAGGGTGGTTTGGTGGTGAAAAAATATTAGGGTGGTAATAAATTACTGAAAAATGGGTAAAAAACATGCCATCGGCAAAAAGTTTTTTTTCTGAATTCTGCTAGCTTGAATCTTAAGCCAGCAGAATCGCTTCCATTAAGAGTGGTTTGGTGGTGAAAAATTATTAGGGCGGTAATAAATTAGTGAAAATGGATGAAAAACTATGCCATAAGCAAAAATTTGCAATGGCATAAGCATTTTTTTCCGAATTCTGCTAGCTTGAACCTTAAGCCAGCAGAATCGCTCCCATTAAGGTTGTTTTGGTGGTGGAAAATGATTAGGCTGGTAATAAATTAGTGAAAAATGGGTGAAAAAATATTACGTAGGTTAAATTGGATTCCACTCATTTGTCCTTGCTAGCTTAAGGGTCCTAGAAAACGATGGAAATTAGGATGCGAGAAACGGCGCCAGCTGTAGAAGACCCTGCCTGTTATATATAACTATAATTTTTGGAATATTCTAAAATGAATTATAACAATTTGTTACCTACTACGACTTAATAATCTCTAAAGTAATTTATTATAAGAAATGTTAATAAGACTACCCACATACGTAAAGTTCTATTTATTAACCAAGTTTTCGAAAGTTCCAAATACTTTTTAAAAATGAAGCTACCCATAGTTTATTATCCAAAATTGATGTACCTACTAGCAACATCCACCACAAATTCAATTTATGCAGCATATGAAAAATAACTTTTACTCGAGCGTGCATGACACATGCATCGGTTGCCTAGAAATTATCTTAAAATTTAAGCTACGGGTCTTTTCCTAGATGCCGCCACTTTCCAATTGACGTCGATTTATTACTGCCCGGAAACATGGGAAAGGTTAGACGTACGTCGTAACTAATTTTGACTTGACGTATTCGGGACGATACATTGCAGCAGACTTGGTCATATATCATAAGGAAAGACGGACGTAACTTATACAGATTGTCATCTAGTTAAACCTCGTCAGTTTTAGTAAATAATATACAGGGTGTTTCGCGTAGATCGTACATTAGACTAAACTCTGAAAATAATAGGATTTGAGATCTTTTTATTGTTTTATTAGATATCTCAGTCTTATGCTAAAAATTTTATGATGGGGGAAAAACACTCTACATTTTAAATAAAGTACATAAATCCAAGTTTAATACTGTGTTTAATTTCCACTGTTTATGTATGACCTTAATGAGTTTTAACGATTGTATAGACGAAGCATCGAAGGAGTTTCTATGTTTGTACAACAAAAAATCAACCGAGCATTCTATTGGTGGGACGAAGAAATTAAGTACATTAAAGAAACAAGATTAAAATATACAAAATTCTTAAATACTAAACCAAGAGTTAATAAAATTAAGTATGTACTAAGAATCTCAAGCAAAAGTTAGAACAATAATAACTAGGAAGAAAGCGAAAGCGAAGAAGTTTGTCAGAACAATCGAAGAATTGCAATATCAAGTACGCTCAGCAGAATACATGGTAAACTTTTGAAAAATAAAATTGAAGCATATTGTACGGACATGGAAGTAAAAGAACAGGTAAGTTTTACAGCAGGAAGAACTACTGTCGATTATCTTTTTATTGTCACCAAACAGTGGAAAAGAAAGGGCATTTAATCAAGAAAAATTTGTATTTTCTTTCTCGATCTTAAGAAAGCCTTTGACAGTTTCCCAAAAATAAAAGTGCAGGATTGCCTAGAAAGCACAAACATTCTTCTTCTTCTTCCTCAGAGCTTTTCCCTTTTCAGGGGTAGCTGTTCCTTATTCTTCATTGCCACGCATTTCTGTCCACCTCCTCCCTTACTTTCTCTGTCAGTACGTCTATTACGCAGGTAGGAACTCAGTGAAGAGCCTTGATGCAAGCCAGCCGCCACTGGAAAACTTTTGGTTAATCAAACGGTTAACCTTCGCTCTACGGTTCTTCCCCAAATTTTCATTGTGTGCGACATTAACTTTATTTCTCTATAGTTATTACAGTCCTCAATCTTTATACCATTACACGATCTCTCTCCATGCATTGGGTATCCTTTCTGCCTCATATATCCCACTCATCATTTGCCACAAAATAGTAATCCCTTCCTTGCTTAGATCCTTCCAAACCTCCACAGGTGTTCCATCGCAGGGTTACTAGGTCTACTGATTTTGCAGTAGATTACTGATTTCAACTTCAATTTACTGATCTGCTGAAACACTGTATCGATCTACTAAAAATATGTAATGATAAAACCATGTTCAAAAAGTGATGATTTTATTAGTGGTCAATTAGGCATCAGTCAATTCCACGCGATTACGCGTTCACTCTCTTTCCTTGTATAAGGAAAAACAGTGAGAAATACTTTGAACAGAAATTACATGAGAAATAATAATTTTTTTGAAGAAAATTTGGTTTATATACTAATCCTACTTCACAATTCACAGGAAACATAATCCATTCGTTGTACGTTATTAAATGTTAATGGTTAAATGCTTGGATTTGAATTTTGGGAGCACATATTTTTGGTCATTTTTCATCGAAGGAATCATAAGTAAAATACATTGAATTACTGTTCAAATAAATTATTTCTCCACCTCAACATCTTCAAATCAGCTAAACGAAATTTTGTTTCAACGAGACGGCTGCTCTTCAAGGTACAATAAAACGGCTTCCTCGGTCACCAGACTGAACTACCCTAGATTTTTATTTTGGGGGATTATTTTTGACTAAGGATCAATTTGTACAGACATTAAATCATTACAGGAGACTGAAATTTTTTAGCATAATAATTATCGTTTCTGAAACATCCTTCCACTTCATCACACCGCTTGTGTCTCTGTTTTAGTAAGCATTTATGCAACTCCTTTCGCTTTGTCTGAATCTACGTATTCTACGTCTCTTTTCCCGGAGTAGATCACCGTAATTCCTTCTTGCCTCTTGTAATTAGATATGTTCTGACCCATTCCTTCTGGTTTTACTTCTTCTTTAAGTTCCATCTTCTATCGAAGATTGGAAATCATCATGGCTATGCGGACTCTGTTGACTGCCGCTCTAAAAAGTTCTGCACTACTGCATTCAAACCATTCCCTTAAATTCTTAAGCCAGGATATTCTTCGTCTTCCCACATTTCGCTTTCCTCGGATTTTGCCCTGCATAATAAGTTGTAGTAATGCGTATTTGTGCCCTTTCATCACATGTCCCAAGTACTCAAGTTTTCGTCTTTTAATAGTTAATATTATTTCCGCCTCATTTCCTATCCTTCTAGTTACTTCCATGTTTGACATTCTTTGAATCCCTAATATTCGTAGGATTCCTCTGTAACACCAAAATTCAAAGGCGGCCAACTTATTCAGATGAACTTGTTTTAGTGTCCAAGCTTCCAAACCATAAAGAAGAGTGGAGAACACGTAACATCGAAGCATTCTCAGGCGTAGTCTAACCTTATATCCCGACAACAAAGAAACTTTTTAAGTTTAATAAACGATGTACGTGCTATTCCAATACGTGTCTTAATTTTCTTTGGTTTGGTCTACATCTGATGTTATCCATGTTCCTAAGTATTTATAGTTATTAACACTCTCAATTGCAGTATCTTCAATAGTCAACTGGATATTTGCATGTGCACATTTAGTCATGATCATGCATTTAGTTTTCTTTAAATTTATCTTCAGTCCGTACTCATGACAGCGTTCATTAAGGCGTTGCATTACGTTCTGTAAATCATTGTTGTTATCCGTAATTATTACTGTATCGTCTGCAAAACGTAAGTTATTAAATTAAAAACTTCTCCATTGATAGATATGCCTTCTATTGAGTCTGAGAGCGCTTCTTGAAATACCGCTTCACTGTAGACATTGAAAAGTAGTGGGGACAGCACGCAACCCTGGCGGACTTCTCATGTATTTTGATATTTTCGGTGTACTGGCTGTCAACTCTTACCTTGTCAGTTTGATTCCAATATAAATTAGATATAATTTTCAGATCACGACTGTCAATATTTTTTGCTTTTTAATATATCTACAAGCTTTTTATGTTGAACTTTATCAAATGCCTTTTCAAAGTCTACAAAACATAAGTACATATCCTGATTCATGTCCATGCATCTCTGAGCCAGCACATCCAAGCCGAACAAAGCATCTCTTGTACTCATACCATTTCTAAAGCCAAATTGTGTGTCACTAATCTCATATTCAAGAGTTTTAACAATTCTGCTGTGAATTATTTTCAAAAATGTTTTAAGTGTGTGACTCATTAAAGCTATTGTTCTGTGGTCTGAGCAAGTTGTTGAACTTGGTTTTTTGGGAATTGCTACAAAGGTTGATTGCAGCCATTGTCTGGGGATTGTGGCAGTCTGATATATTAGATTAAAGAGAGATTAAAGACGGTTTTACTTACTTTATTACAAATTCTTCATCCATCCATAAATTCCACCTAATGCAATCTTTGTGGAAGTATTTCCCGTAAGGTGAGATTGTTTGTAATGTGAAAATTTAAATTCAGCTTGTTTTAGGTATATTTCAAATGACCCATATTTGTTGCTAGAACTCAAAATCGAAATTTTATGATTTAAGTTTTTAACATAAGGTTCTAACGCTGTAAATTCCATAGCGACCGATTAATGGAAATGATAAATTTTATTGATCTCACGAGAATAATAAAAAGTGACAAAAATCCTGCAACTTTTATTTATTTAACAGCTTTATATAAACTGATTACATTTTCGACAAAATGCTAGGATTGCATACTAAAGCTGCAATTTTCAGCTTTAAAATTAATTTTCATTTTTGTCGATAGGTCACTTTGATCAAAAGATATCGAATTTTTACCGTCGTCGAGCTAATACAAATTTTATTTAAAAAATTGATTTCGCGCGCGTAACTGAATAACTGACATTTAAAATCGCCGGTCACTACAAGCGTTGTTTCTGATAGAACAGATATTTCTATACAACAAGTGTTAATTAAGTCTTGTTTAAAATGATCTCAGCTACATTTTTTGTTTAAGACGTTTTTTTATGGGGTATAGATTCTTCTTAGCCATCTTTTCATTCCCCCCTCCCCAAGAGGGATTTTTTAGGGAAAAGCTCGGATTTACGAGTGACGATTATTGTTATACGCATCAAAATTAGCTTGTTCATATGGTTTTTAGAGGTCAAATCTCTGGGGACTGGACTATTGGTAATTATTGTTTTACTTATACACACTACTAGACTAGGCGGGATCTGTAAAAATTCAGACCATAATGGACATTTTCCATAGGAAGCTATTTTTTTGCTGGAATCCCTTCAGGATGGGCCCAATATCGATAATCACGATATGCGCCAGTCGCAAACCCTGTGCTAAATTTTTTATTTAACAAAATCTGAAAACAATAGAAAATTTCTCATTTTTTTGCTCCTATTTTCGTTTATAATTCGGAAAATATTGATCCTAGAGAAAAAATTATAGGAAGTTAAAAGTTTCGTTATTCAATTTTACATAATATGTCGTTAGCTAGAAATTGAAAATTTAATGTTTATTGTTGAAAAAATAGCAATAATTGGAAAAAAAGGTACAAAAAAATGAAGTTAATCCTTTAAATGTTTTCGACTTTTTAAACTTGACTTACAAGCTCCATATTCCGCCTAGAAAAACTTTTTAATATGTTTAAAACGTGTGCTAAATTTTTTGAAGATCGGTCGGATAGGTTTTGCATAATAATTTTGCAATCCAGCCTACTGAAAAAAAAATCGCAAATTTTCAAATTTATAATAGGCCCTAAATAAGGCCCTCAGATAGTTGCAATTTGTTTTACATATAAAGGAAGCTCAAACTTCCAAACGCTTTTTGTAAAATTCAAATCGGTTCACTAGGAGAGCCTAGAAATTTTTTTAAAGTTTTAAACATTTTTTAGGCTCATAAACAGATTGAATAACTTTACGAGCTTTAAACCTATGATCAAATCAGGCTATTTGATTTGCGAATATATTTTGATTCGAAAATGATATGTTTAAAGCTCGTAAAGTTATTCAATTGTTTATAAGCCTAAAAAATGTTTAAAACTTTTTAAAAAATCTAGGCTCTCCTAGTAAACCGATTTGAATTTTACAAAAAGCGTTTGGAAGTTTGAGCCTTCCTTTATATGTAAAAAAATTGCAACTATCTGAGGGCCTTATTTAGTGCCTACTATAAATTTGAAAATTTGCGATTTTTTTCCAGTAGGCTGGATTGCACAATTATTATGCAAAACCTATCCGACCGATCTTAACAAAATTTAGCACACGTTTTAAACATATTAAAAAGTTTTTCTAGGCGGAATATGGATCTTGTAAGTCAAGTTTAGAAAGTCAAAAACATTTAAAGGATTAACTTCATTTTTTTGTACTTTTTTTCCAATTATTGCTATTTTTTCAACAATAAACATTAAATTTTCAATTTCTAGCTAACGAAATATTGTGTAAAATTGAATTACGTAACTTTTAACTTCTTATAATTTTTTCTCTAGGAGCAATATTTTCCGAATTATAAACGAAAATAGGAGCAAAAAAATGAGAAATTTTCAGTTGTTTTCAGATTTTATTAAATAAAAAATTTAGCACAGGGTTTGCGACTGGCGCATATCGTGATTATCGATATTGGGCACATCCTGACGGGATTCCAGCAAAAAAATAGCTTCCTATGGAAAATGTCCAATCCAAAACAGATCCGTCTGGACTATACCCTAAAATGATTATACCATTTTTATTCTTAGCATTAATGAATAATGAGTTCATTAAAAATCAACGTCAAGTATTAATTATGCACCTGTCCCAACGAATTGTTTTCACAATTGTTATGACTAACATCTAATAAATATTTCCGTAAACTGTTTACTTTATACCACAAATACATATTACAAACAAACATATTAAGACTAGATGGAATTTTTACCACGAACTGAAAAACTTAAAAAATAAAAAATAATACAATGAATAACCTTGTTATACATCTAAAAGAAATAATAAATTAGACGCGGTTACCTAGAAATTTAATGAATCTAAATAATAGGAAACCATGTTAATTTTTTATTCTAATAAATAAAACCAGTCACGTTTTTAACTAGTTCATTATAGTTACACAGAAAAACAATATCCATGTCTAATTGTAGAACAAATAATGATGATCTTATTACGATTTTTTTTATATAACCTTGACATTGACTTAGATCACATACCATTAACGAATCTTTTTAGTTTAAATAAAAATAACATATCAAATGCGTGTTTTTATTTCTTTATATATGTATAATCGTCGTTGATATTAATGCACTTATGAAGACTAATCACCAGTTTTGTCGATTCTTGTCATATTTCCTGGTTCCTGATCCCAGACATTTAACGTTTCAAGTCAGTAAGTAGTGTTTGGTAAAAATACAGCCCAAACTTTACATTGGCGGATATCAAGTCATAACTGCCACGTCATTGAGCGTGGTGTAG